ATAAAATTTTAAATTGATTAAATCAATTAAACTAAATACATCTATAATGTTTTTATGTGATCTTTAAATTTATTGGTGTGTCAATAACCATGGGAATTATATGACAATATGTTGAACATTCTTTTTATTTTTATTTTTAAAATAAGGAACTACATTAAATAAAAGGTTTTCTATAATTTGTCCTTAATAAGAGAATATTTATTTTCTATATAGTGCATTTTCAATAATTAATTACCTTAAAAATATAAAAATTGATCTTAATTTTTTTATCAATACAATGTGTCAAATTATTATTAATATTTTGATAAAATGAAGGTCGACCTTTATATTTTTAAAGTAATTAATTATCAAAACAATATAATAATTAAATAATAAATACATTTTTATTAATGTGCCAATATAGAAAAACTAATATCGATGTATAAGATCTCGGAGCATGGTATCCAGATGAATCCGCCAACAGAGCAGAAGCAAACAAGGGCAAGGCTATGTGAAACTCAGACGGCTGAGTGAAAGTATCTATCCCCGTCCCAGTCGCAGCTCACGGTCTGGGTTTCAAATGCCCATTCCCTACAATTGTACTTGTTAAAAAAGAAACACAGAGAATACGTAAGTTGCAAGGAGCAAAATTTTAACGAGGGTCTAATTCAGTGATTGAGACTTAATAAGTATTGCTTTGACTGACTTGTAGATTGATCAGGATTCCAACACCTTTCTCAGCTCTGTTCTGCTATGGTGGAAAGAGGCAGGCTCGTTCTGTAGAGGTAGTGTGACTAACTGCTGAGCATGAGAACAATGGTTGCCATTGTTGGCCTTTCAACAGGATCTTCCTGAACACATGGCAACCCAATTTGGATGCACCTAGTGACTTCATTTCTTGCGTAAGAATCTCCAAGAATCGGGTCCAAAAGCTCCAATAGTCTCCCATCCTTCCAAAGTTTCCAGGCCTGCACAAATTCATCAACCAATTTATAAAAAGTTATCCTTTATTATTTCTTTCTTGTCGTAGATGTATGATGTTTTAACTATTTATGGCTAGAAACAAATTCAGAGGCTGATCTACACTCACATAGCTTATTAGGTCTCCAGTTCCTTCTGTTTGATAAAAGTTACTGTTCTTCTCGCTGCTTAAAATCTCTAGAACTAAAACACCAAAACTATACACATCTGATTTCACAGAGAACTGTCCATGCATGGCATATTCTAGAGACATGTAGCCACGGAAAAACCAGCACCAATGTTAGATAAAACAACTGTATTCTTTACTTGTATATCAATAGAACACCAATGAAAACAATATATCTTTTGTATGTCTACATGTAACAAAAACTGTTGGTATTAGATCGATTGTCTTTCTTCTATTCACTTTTTTCAGAGAGTATTGAGTAAGGATGTGACCACAAATGAATGGCCTATGGAACATAAACAAATGACTGAAGTGTTACTACTTACTAGGTTCCAGCAATTCTATTTGTGCTTCCTTGAGATTGATGAACTTCAAGGACCCTTGCCATTCTAAAATCTGAAATTTTTGGATTCATGTCACCATCTAGCAATACATTGTTGGCTTTGAGATCCCAATGTATGATTCTAAGCCAAGAATCCTAATGAAGATAAAGAATTCCTTGAGCAATACCTCCTATTATCTAGTATCGTCTGGAACAGTCCAACAATCCTTGTCTATCATGATCTGCATAAGAATAAAGCAAATCAAATTTGACATATTTCTACTTTTCTGCTATGTGTTGGCATGCTTTAGAGCAAAGGTTCTTGCAAAAGGATAGGTGACACAGACTAAATAGAAAATAGTCTAAGGCTCTTGTTGGGCACAAATTCGTAAACAAGTATCTTTTCTTCTCCTTCCAAACAAAATCCTAATAGCTTCACTAGATTTTTGTGCTGAAGCCTAGCCACCAACACAACCTCATTCTTGAATTCTTCAGCTCCTTGTCCAGAACCTCTTCACAGCTATTTCTTGTCCATTAGTAAATCTACCCTGAAAATGTAAAACAAACAAATAACTACTAGTCCCAATATCAAAACTTGTAATTTCTAAATTGAATTCTCTGGACCTGGCATGGACATTACCTTGTAAACCACCCCAAAACCACCTTCACCTAGTCTATTACCGTCTGCAAAGTTGTTTGTTGCAGCTTCAATCGAGTTGAGATCATACTGCAGTGACTCTATAGTGATTATATCAGCCACAGCTGCACAAGCAGCACAACCAGACACCAAATATAACAATAAAAATCTGTGAAACCTCAAAGATAATTCTGGATTGAAAAAAGAATTCATGTTTTCACCACTATCTCCCTGCACAATATCATACTTCTTCTTTCCTCTCCTTGTTAGCAACTAGCAAGCAATACCCCCCAATGAATAGCAAAATAGAGACACCAACCGGGACAACAATGGTAACAATTGTCACCCATAATTTTTGGCCTTTACTATACCTGCATAAGAAACTCGATGCGTCACTCATAAAATTGACACTACCCCGTGAATCGGTTCGGATCCTTGGCATTCTGAAGGTTCCACATTGACACGCTCCCCGATTTACTCAGGGCGGAGAAAATAGATGCGTTGGAGTAGCGAAGAAGGCAATCTCGTACCAAATCACAGCAATTTTTTCAACCGGGCAACGCTGAGTCACATCTCTGGTGGCAAATGTGATGCAATTCAAGTAGCGGTTGAAACGTCGCCGAATTGGTTATGAAAAATGTTGTAACTTTTCATAAGTTAGTTTTTTTATCTATTTCATTACAAATTTTAGAAACACCTAATTGATACTTTACAGGAATTTTTCATTTGAATTTTAATAAAATTAACACATTATTTTTATTTTTATTTTTTTATTTAATAAAACAATACTTTTATAATAATTTATTTTTAACAAAACTTTTATTAAAAACTTCCACCATACTAAACGAGCACTAAATCATTAAAATCCTAATCAGAAGCAGTTTTTCTAATAATTGAAGATACATTCAATAGCCACCTTTGTGGAAAAATTAGGGGACAAGAATTCAAAACTCATTAACTTACCCGTATTTAAAAATTGAAAAAATAGTTTAAATTATATCAAATGCGCAAAATATTAATTATTAAATTAAGAAGAGTTTTAGTATTAAGAAAAAGTTTTTTGTTTAATAATTAATATTTTATAATTTAATACAAATTAAGTTGCAAACCACCAACTTCTTTAAAATTTTCATATATTTAAACTAAAGTTACATATTTTGTTTTGCAGTATAAATTAAATCAAACTACAAAATGAGTACAAAAACTATTAGATGAGAAACATCCTCAGATTCTTAAGCAAAGAGACCGTTGGGGCATGAACACTAAACATTGGAAACTTTGGAAGGATAGGAGACCGTTGGAGCTTTTGGATCCAATTCTTGGAGATTCTTATGCAAGAAATGAAGCCATTAGGTGCATCCAAATTGGGTTGCTATGTGTTCAGGAAGATCCTGCTGAGAGGCCAACAATGGCAACCATTGTTCTCATGCTCAACAGTTACTCAGTTACACTACCTCTACCGAACGAGCCTGCTTTTTTCCTCCGTAGTGGAACAGAGTCAATAAAGGTGTTGGAATCTGATGAGGGTTCAAGTAAGCCAATGCAATACTCAATAAAATCAGAGCATGAACACTCAATAGTGTCAAGGTTTTGTAGTGGTTGGAATCTTACATTTGAAAATTTTGTCAAGGTTTGTTTCAACATGCCATCATTCTTCACTCTCGGTTATCTCATAAATTATGCTATGTCCATGGCCTATTTTCAAATAATAATAATAATAATAATAATAATAATAATAATAATAATAATAATGCTATGTCTTTTTGAATGAAAGTAAATTAATACATATTAAAATAAATGAGAATTGGGAAAGGGAGATTGTAAGACTTGAAGACACGATCTATGAGATAGGATCCACATTAACATAGGATTTAAACCACTGGGTCATAGCTGGAAATCAAATTATACTATGTCTTTTATGCAACAAGTACAGAGAATTTTAATGGCTCTAATCCGAAAGGAGAATGTGAATTAAATAAACTCTTACATCCTTTAAGTACTCTCCAAAGTTAGATTTAATTTTTTTAAGAAAATAAGAATATAATAATTAACAAGTAAAATTTTATATTTATTCTTAATTTATTACTACTCAAATAATTTGTTTTATTTAACATATATTGTAATTATTTTTAAAAATAAAAATAAAATAAAAATAATTGAATAGATAACATTTTAAAAAATAGTGATCAATTAAATTTAAATGTCTCAAATTAAAATTAAATCTATTAAACTTAGACAGGAAGAGTAACAAAAAGAAAATTACTTAAAAACTTTAATTTATGGTTAAGATTAAATATATAAATATTTGTATTATTAAATAACTAACTCTTTGATATATAAAAAAAATTACTAAATTAAATGTTTTATTAATTATAGTATAAGTAAGGTTAAATGTCAATCTGGTCCTTCAATTTTAAAATTTTATATGCTTTTGATCCTTTAACTTTTTTATGCACTTTTTTAATCCCATAACTATAAAAAATGTATATTTTTAGTCTTTTTGTCAGTTAGTATATTAAATATATCTGAATCTATATATTTTTAGTCTCCCAACTTATAATATATGCATATTTTAAGTTGAGAGACTAAAAATGTATATATTTAGATAAGCTTACAATATTAATTGACAGAATGATTAAAAAAATATTTTTTATAGTTAAAGGACCAAAAAAAATGCATAAAAAATTGAGAGATGAAAATTATGAAAAACTTTAAAGTTGAGGGACCAAAATTAGCATTTAACCTATATGTAAGTTGATTTTGACTAAAAAACCATAAAGTAATTCCTGAACTTTACATACTTTTGCAGTTAAACCCTCCAAGTATTTTTGGCTTTGGATTAAAATTAAAACGAATTGAAGTTGGAAGGCTTAATTGCCGAAAGAATTGTAAGTTAGGCTGCTCCTTTTGGGTATATATAGCCTCTCATCCTAATAAATTTGAAGTTTTTAACTCATCATCTTAATAAATTTAAAGTTTTTACACATTCATCTTATACTATGAAATTTTTGACTTCTAAACTTAAAAATTTAAAGATTTTAATCTCTAAACTAACAAAATATGTTAAATCTCCATTAAAGTAAAAATAAAATATTTATAAAATTAGTTTTTAAAAATTAAAAATAATTAGTAAATGATTTTACCACATATACGAGAATAGTATTAAATATCTATAACAAATTAGGTAATTATCTCAATTTTAAAAATGAAATCTAACTAAGATTAAAGAAAAATTTTTATTTTATTTATTTTATTAATTTTTTAGACTTTCTATTTTAAGTTAGTTAAAAAACTTTCTTTAATCTCCATCAAAATTTTTTCTTCAAGTTGAACTAATCACCTAATTTAATTGTAAATATTTAACACTATTCTTGTATATGTGACAAAACATTCACTAATTATTTTTAATTTACTACTTTTTTAATTTTAAAATTTTTAATACTAAATTGTTACATTTTTAATTATTAAGGATTGATTTTATAAATATTTTATTTTCACAAAAATTAATAGATTCTGTTAGTTTAGGACAAAAAACTTAAAATCTTTAAATTTAAAGTCTAAAAACTTCTTAATATAATGTAACCGGTTAAAAATTTTAAATTTAATAAGATAAAGCACTAAACACATGCTTTGACTGCATTTTGCTTCCCCCTATCTTTTTATTAAGTTGTTACACAAAGCGCACCGTTTCCGGTGAAATTTATAGAATTTGAGCATTAGGGAGTGCCAATATCTTGAATTCTAAGGTGGGGAAGCCGAGGAGCAGTGGCGGAGGGAGGGGGGCACTAGCCCCCCTGAAATTTGAAAATCTTTGTAAATTAAGATATGAAAAATTATTACGCCCCCTAAAATTTAAAAATTTTGTAAATTAGTGTATAAAAAATTATCTCGTCCCCCTGAAATAAAATTCTGGCTCTGCCCCTGCCGAGGAGGAAGAAGAACAAAAGAATCATGAAGAACAATGGCCAATTAAATTAAAAAACGAAGGTCATGAAGAAAGATGGCATTAAAAAAAAAAAAAAGGGTCATTAAGAATATAGAAAAGGAAGTCATTTCCCTGAATTAGTATTCAGTAACTTCTTTCTCTTACTGAAATAACACAGGAAATATAAGTTGCAGGGTGCCTAGTTTTACCGAGGGTCTATTTCAGTGATTGAGATTTCATTCACAGAGCATTGCATTGACTGACCGAATGATTGATCAGATTCTAGCACCTTTGCCGGCTCTGTTCTGCTATGGAGGAAAAATGCAGGCTTCTTCGGTAGAGATAGTGTGACTGAGTAACTGCTGAGCATGAGAACAATGGTTGCCATTGTTGGCCTTTCAGCAGGATCTTCCTGAACACATAGCAAACCAATATGGATGCATCTAATGACTTCATTTCTTGCATAAGAATCTACAAGAATTGGGTCCAACAGCTCCAGTGGTCTCCCATCATTCCAAAGTTTCCAGGCCTGCACAAATTCATCAACCGATTGTTAACCTTTATTCTTTCTTTCTTCTTGTTATTGATGGAAAATGTTGTAACTATTTACAGGGAGAATATAATTCAGAGGTTGATACATACTCACATAGCTCATTAGGTCTCCAGTTCCTTCTGTTTGATAAAAGTTACCATTCTTCTTGCCACTTAAAATCTCTAGAACTAAAACACCAAAACTATACACATCTGATTTCATAGAGAACCGTCCATGCATGGCATATTCTGGAGACATGTAGCCACTGGAAGACCAGCACAAAGGTTAGTATAACAACAACAGAGATTATTTACTTGTATGTCAATAGAACTATAGAACAACTAGGAATTCTATAATTTTTTTTTTAATTTTAGGAATTCTATAAAGCTTTGCATGACTAAATTAAAAGAAAAACTGTTAGTCTTAGATAATCTTCCATTTTATTGATTTTTTTTTCCTCTTGGTGGTTTAATGGTAATAATGTGGCCATCAATGACTCAACTATGGAACTTAAACAAATAACTAAGGTTTTACTACTTACTAGGTTCCAACAATTCTTTTTGTTTTTCCTTGAATTTGGTCGACTCCAAAAATTCTTGCCATTCCAAAATCTGAAATTTTTGGATTCATGTCACCATCTAGCAATACATTGCTAGCTTTGAGATCCCGATGTATGACTCTAAGCCGAGAATCCTCATGAAGATAAAGAATTCCTCGAGCAACACCTTCGATTATCCTATAACGTCTTGACCAATCCAACAATCCCCTTCTATCATGATCTGCATAAGAATCAAGCAAATCAAATTTGACATCTATTTTTCTTGTATGTGTTGCAATTCCTTAGAGTGAAGGTTCTTGAAAAAGGGTACATGACACAGACCGAATAGAAAATAGTCAAGGCTCTTGTTGGGCATGAATTCATAAACAAGTATCTTCTCTTCTCTTTCCACACAAAATCCTAATAGCCTGACTAGATTTCTGTGCTGAAGCTTAGCCACCAACACAACCTCATTCTTGAATTCTTCAACTCCTTGTCCAGAGCTCCTCGATAACCTCTTCACTGCTATTTCCTGTCCATTAGGAAATCTACCCTGAAAATGCAAAAGAAATAATCACTAGTCCTTACACCAAAGTTTCTAATTTCTAAATTGAATTCACTGGATATGGCATGGATATTACCTTGTAAACCACCCCAAATCCACCTTCACCTAGTCTATTACCATCTGTGAAGTTGTCTGTTGCAGCTTCAATCAATCTGAGATCATACTGCAGTGACTCTATAGTCGTCATATCAGCCACAGCTGCACAACCAGACACCAAATATGTGAACAAAAACCTGTAAGACCTCAAAGATAATTCTGGATTGAAAATAAGAAGTAATGTTTTCACCATTATCTCCCTGCACACTGTCATACTTCTTCCTTTCTCCCCTTGTTAGCAAGCGATACCCCACAATGAAAAGCAAAATAGAGAAACCAACCGGGGCAACAATGGCAACAATTACCACCCATGCTTTTTGGCCTTTTCCTGCTAAAGAAATAAAATATATCACTGATAAAACTAAAACTAGATTAGTTATTTCATATTCAATAGGTTTTTTAAAGTAAGATTTCATATTGAATACTTGATTACTTATTACCTAGAAAAAGGGGGAAAGATAGAATTTTGGCAATGACCCACTTTTTAGGCTTAGCATGGATGGTTACCAAGACAATTAGTTTAATACCCAATTTTTCTGAATTAAAGATATTTTAATTAGCAGCAAGAAGAAGCTAACTTGTAAATTTATCAACTTTATAGATTGATGCAAAGTTTAAAGGCATCCTCACAAACAAAAATTAATCGGTAAATTATGCGCTCAACTTTACCTTCGGGGTTGATCTCTGAACCAGGATTAGTGATAATCGGTGGTGGCGGCGCTGCAACTGCAGATACATTATAGAAAGGGTAAACTTCATACCTTACATAACAACTAGGGTATATTACTCTTCCGCCAGTTTTTCCGCCACAACAACTAGGCAGACCAGCTATGGCTGCTTGGAGACACCTATTACAGTCCGAATTCGACAGGTCCGGCGTGCACTGAACAAGACTGTACTGGGTCTGAACCGCAGAAATATTAGCCTCCTTTGTGGCGAATCTGTTAGCCACTAACGCAGCCCGAGTCCTTGCATCGTACATCGACGTTGCCAATACGTCGTTGAATCGGGTCGGATCCGCAACATTCTGATTGTTTGACAAACCAAACCAAACCTTATCATTGAGGACGGTGAAAGTCCATGTGTCGGAGTAGCGGAGGAGGCACTCGTCGTACCAAACCACAGCATTTTTTTCAACAGGGCAAAGCCGAGTCACATTTCTGGCGGCAGACGTGACGCAATTTCGACAAATAGTGGTAGAAACGTCGCCGCGACAGAGGAAGACGCCGTAGACCCTGTCGGGGTTTTCCCCAGAGGTGGTATTATAGAATCCGTTGGTGACGGTGGGGTCAGAGGAAAGGGCGGACAGAAGTTTGTTGATATTGGATTGGTAAGTGCTGTTTCCAGTGAAATTCCCCGTGTCGAAGCAGTAGTTGGTGAAGTAGGTTGCGTTCTGAGCTTCAGTTGCAAGGCAGAGGAAGCAGAGTAAAACCAGGGTAATGAAGAATCTGAAAGCAGACATTTTTTTTCTATGAAAATGGTAGTACCTGGTTTTGATGCCTGGGATCAGGTGAGAATCGAAATAGAGGAATGAATCTGGGGTTCTGTTTTTCAATTTGATTTTTTTGAACCAGAAGGAAATGTTTTTCAATTTGATTACGCGATGTGGACTTGAGTGGATCATGCTTCCAAAAAGGAAAAAAACTTACTTTGAGCCCCCTCACTTTCTCAAGTTTAAAAGTTTTAATCCATTACCTTATATTATTACACTTTTAACCTCTTACCTTATTAGATTTATAAGTTTTAACTCTTTATTTATTAAAATAAAAAAAACTAACCTTCACTTTATACTAACAGTTAATTTTGTTAATTGAAAGTAGATTTTTATCAATTAATAATTAATTATTAGTCAATTAACAGAATTAACGAAATAATATAAAATTTTGTTAGCTCTATTAGTTAAAAGAAGATTTTTATCAATTAACAGTTAATTAATAGTCAACTAATAAAGTTAATAGTTAATTAATAAAACTAATAAAATATTACAAAATAAAGATTATTTTCTTTAATTTTAATAAATGATGAGCTAAAAATGTTATAATATTAGATAAATAATTAAAATTTATAAATCTAATAAGATAATAAATTAAAAATATTATATTATAAAATAAGAATTAAAACCTTTAAACCGTGACAAGGGATTAAAAACAGGGTTTTGCCTCCAAAAAAACAGGTCAAGTCAAACTCAATTGTTTGGTTTACGATCGAGAAAAGGGAAGAAAAGAGATGTTTTCCCTCTTTTAGAGCTGTTGGATTAGACGTGGGTAAGAAAGTACTTAACAAAAAATTTGTTAAATACGTTACACCCCTACACAAAGTTAATAAGTTCTTTAGTTTATTAAAAAATTTGTACAGAAAAAATTAGTATAAAAATTATTAAATAAGTTTTATATGAGAAAAAAAATATATAATTTAAAAATTGTGTTAAAGAAAAAATTAAAGATTAAAAATTTTATTTTTATTTTTTATTATAATATTGAATTTAAAAATTATGTTAAAAATAAAATATAAAAATATTATTTTTACTTTTTTATTATATATTAACATATAAAAATATATAAATAATCTAACCAAGTTTAAAAATGTTTAGTGTTAAAAGTATTATCCAATTAAATACACACTTAGAGTAGTTGAAATAATAATTACAGTGCAGAGAAAGAAATGCCTTTTTTATTTTTATCTTAAAAATATCTAATGAGGTTGTGAAAATTTTGATAGTTTTAACCATTAAAATATTAAAATTAATAATAAAAATTTTATATTTTTAATTAATTAAGATATAAAAAATTTATATTAAAAATATTTAAATAATTTTATAAAAATCTTAACTTTTTTTTTCAATATATTTTGCAAGGAAGGAGTTTCAAACCTTACCAAAAAAAATACACCGATGACTAATACTATTAGGTCTCAAGGACAGGTGCATAAAAATCTTAACATTTAAAATCGCAATATATATTAATTTTCATTTTTCTCTTTTCATTTTTTTTTTGAACAATTTTATCATAAAGCAGGTTTCGAGAAGGAAAATGTGCACTTTTTCAGTGACTCTAACCACTGGGTCAGACGGGCCAAGTGCCCATTTTTCTCGTGTTAAAAGTTAAAAAGTGATAATCACGTTCCCGGGGCCCCGCGACGGCCGCGGAGGAGAATGTTATGACACGCAAAATTAAGAAAATTTTGGTTGTAAAGACTCTTTTATCCCTCCATTACCCAAAACTAAACAAGAAATCAACGGATCAAACCAAAAGTGAAAGCACTAGAGCAGAAATCTCAAAGCTAAGCAAAGGAAAAAGAGATACCCGAACTAGAATAATGCAACCCATTGATCAATATCCTGCCTGAAACAAGAAAATTCTAGTATATTCAGAAAGAAATTCAACAAAAAATACAGCAATTGTGCAGGGATGGAGTGAGCTGCTTCGACTTACCTTTGCTGCATTTGGAGAGAGAAATGGGAAATCAAAACTGTCAATTGGAAAATTCCCCTTTCTTCACAAAAGATTGGCAAGTTTTTGAAAAGAAATTTGACAATTTTGAAGCCAATGCCTTCGAAACATATGACTTAGATTTGGTGAAGATGATTTTGATAGGATGAGAAGGATCTGGGCGGTCGAACTCTCGAAGTAGAGATTAGGGAGGATGAAAGAGAAAAAGTAGTGACCAACGAGGGGTTGGATCAAGTGGTAAACGGCTTGTTCCAGCTTAAGTAAGGTCTCGAGTTTGAGTCCTTGCGTACGTAGCAGCCTTCGTCGGGAAACTCACCCACCATTTTCAGGTGCGCAAC